ACTGGTTACATTCATAAGGTTTCTCTCCAGTGTGTGTTCTTTTATGGCTTAAGAGATGACTGTTTTCCACAAAGGGTTTACCACATTGATTACATTTGTAAGGCTTCTCTCCAGTGTGTGTTCTTTTATGCCATATGAGATCAGTGGTATAGGAGAAGGCTTTACCACATAGAGTGCATTTAGAAGGTTTCTCTCCAGTACGACTTCTTTCATGCCTGCAGAGATAATTAGTACATGTGAAAGATTTACCACAGTCAGTGAATTACACTAGTAAATATATTTATCTATATTAATTAATTTCATAATTTGGTCTAATGGTAAAGGAGAATAAAATTTTAAATTATCAATTTATTTACATTAATGTTTTTTTCCTTCATTGTAGGTATTTTTGAAGATCCCTGCGATGGTAAGAGCATTTGTCATGTGGTTTACTTTTATAGCATCATTTTCTATAAGAGGTTTTTTTGTATATATGAAGATTATTGTAAGAATTCAGAGCTTTAACACAGCAATTCCATTCACAATTTTTTTTACTGTATGAATGACACTTCCTTTGCAAAGTGAGCCAGGACACGCAGAAGAATTTCCAAATTCCTAGTATTTATAGGTATTTTCAGCAGTATGAGATTGCTGGAAAATTCTCAGTGAAGTTGCAAAACCAATTAACACTAACCATTTATGGCATTCAGAAAATCTACTCAAAGTGGGGACTACTACAAAATAATTGTTCTTGGAGAAAGACAGGTACACTGCTTCTTTCAATATCTCTTTTTCATGTGCCTTACCAACATTGTGACATGTGATATACCTATTTAAATTACAAGAACAATAAAGGATTCCCTCACTGAATTACCACATTTTGTTTTTTGTTCATCATAGACATGTCATATAGGGATTAAGGTTTTTCCACAACAATATTCTTGACTCTCATTAGCTTCTCCTTTCACTAAACTTTACAATGTTACTGCATGAATTTTAGTAATGCTAGTTGTACTATGAAATATTTGTTTATTAGAAGGTGTATACCTCTTACAATATCTGAGTAGATAGAATGAGACTAAACAGATCGTCAGATCAATTTAGTAGCTGTTATATCCACATGATTCAAAAGGTATTTTCTGTTACAACATTGTTTTATTTTCTTCTTTCTTAGTGGAGTGCTTGCAAACACAAATCAGATACCTGACATTGCAGTACATGGAATTGGGAGATTTTAATGATCATCAGTACACTTAAAGCAGTGCTGTTTTTACACTGTTGTTTTTCTTTAAAACTTCCAGGACACAGCCAAGTGTGCTGGTACATGCCTTTAATCCCACCACGCATGGAGGCAGAAACAGGCAGATATGTGTGATTTCGAGGTCAGGCTGTTCCACCAAGCAAGTCTAAGACAAGCCACAGCTACACAGAAAAAAAAGAAACTGTTTCAAAAACAAAAAAAAAAATAAAAATAAAAAGCAGCCAAAAAACAAAAACAAAAAATAAAAAATAATTCCAGGACACATTAAAATTTCTTAAGATTCATATCTGTATCACCATGCATATAAAATTACCTTCTATTACTTGTAGAACTTTGAAAATGTTCTTCAATTTTATGGTGCTCCCAATTGTAGCCTAAAAATATATATTATTGAAAATATCATATTATTATTAAGGAAAAACTTAAATCACTATCTTCTGTGACCTTTAGAACCATGCCTGATTTATTCACCTCACTCCTCCTCATTCAAAATTGGAATTACAGAAGAGGATCAATAACAAAGTAAGAGTTGTGTCTTTATTTTAAAAGTGAAAGAAAATTTGCAGTCTTTCCTATAGCAGTGAGGTTTTCACAGGTCTCTAGCATCACATCTTTGTAGAGTTGCTTCTGGGAAGGTTCCAGCAAGGCCCACTCTTCTTGGCTGAATTTCACATGCACATCATTGAAGGTCACTGAATTCTAAAATATGCCATACATTTGTACAACAGAAACAGTGGCAACAATATAAATTTATACTTCATTGTCAATATAATCATATAATTCTACTGCTTCTTCAGTTTATTTTCTGACACAGAAGTGCTAATGCTATACAGTTGGGTGCTGTGTGTGAAGTAGGGGAGATGAAAAAGCCTAAAGGTTAGATTGTAAAAAAAAAACAAAACAAAAAAAAAAAAAAAAACAAAGGCCTGTTTCAAAAACCTGTGTTTCATCAGTTTGTAAGACATGAATATAAAGTAGCCATTAGTTGGGTTCTTGAACAATCTATGAATCATCTTCAGTTACTTTGGTGGGTAGGTCAGGACCCTGTCATGGGACAGGTGGAAGCACAGAACACAGTCATGTTTTTTTTATATAGTGACAAATGAGATGTGTTGATCAGGGGACACTGAACAGGTGGGTAACATCAGTCAAAAGACAACATGGTACTGAATATTATGTTTTGACCAGGGCTCAGGGATGTGGCATATCAGTATGTGAAGAGGGGGGCTCATATATTTATGGAAGGGAAAGTGGACTACATTGAATACATGGATAAAATAATGTGAGTGGCAAGCAACAACAATCATATCCAATAACATCATATTTCTGAGTGACCAGACAAAAGAAAAGGAATAGAACACATGATTATTCTTTGATCATTGTTTTGTATATCCTCCTTACTAAATAATGTAGTCTATAGATTAAAAATAAAGATTAAAACTTTTCTATTAAAAAAGAAGTGTTAATGTTATCACTAAGTCATTTTAGAAGAAAATGAAATAACAAGTTTTAACTGTATCATATCTGAACTTTTTGAATAGGA